TCAAACCGGACGGCGTCCAGCGGCACCTGGTGGGTGAGATCGTGCGGCGCTTCGAGAGGAAGGGCTTCAAGCTGGTGGGGTTGAAGCTGCTGCAGGTTCGAGGGTCGGGCGGGGCTCTCGGTGTGCTCCGGCACGCGGGAGGGGTTCCATGCCCTGTTAGGAGGCTGCAGGGCCGTGTGTTGTGTGCAGGCGTCGGAGGAGCTGCTGAAGGAGCACTATATCGACCTGCGGGACCGGCCCTTCTATGGCCGCCTGGTGAAGTACATGAGCTCGGGGCCAGTGGTGGCCATGGTGAGTGCTGGGGGGAATGGGTGAGGAGGGCTCCATCTGAGGGCCTCTGGGAGCTGTGCTGGTATAGAGGATGCGGTTTGATTTCAGGGTGAGCCGTTGGTGCTGATTCTGTTCGCTGCTGTGTAGGTGTGGCAGGGTCTGGATGTGGTGAGGATGGCACGCACGATGATTGGAGAGACCAACCCGGCTGAGTCCAAGCCTGGCACCATCCGAGGAGACTTCTGCATTGAAGTTGGCAAGTGAGTCTGGCTTCTTGTGCCCTGAGTGTTGCTGTGCATTCCTGTCCTTGCATTCCTGCCCGAGCCCTGCGAGGCTGCATCGGCAGAGCAAAGTTCAGATCACTCAGGTACTGACACTGGACACGGTGACCTGGGTTGGTTTTGCCAGAAGGGAGCAGCCTGGGTTTAGGTCTCTTATGCTTCCTGAGGCCTCTTCTCCCTGCAGCCGAGGGGTTTGCTTGACAGGGAATCAGGACTGTCAGGCTGTGAAGAGGCACGGAGGAGCCCTCTGAACCCCCTCCTGGAGGCTGCCCAGCTCTGCCAGGCATCTGAGTATGAAACAAAAGCCAAGCTGCAGTTCTGCAATCATAAGGGCTTCTCACCACTGCGTATTGTCCAGTGGTGACCTCTGGTGGCTGCAGCTGAACCTGGCTTGTGGTAGTTGCTCTTACTAACCTTCCTGGCTTAGGTTTTCATTCCTTCGTGTCTGACACCAAGCCTGCTTTGTAGGACCTGCTTTCAGTGAAAGAAGTGAGAAACCTGGAGGTAAATCAGTGGTAAACCTTTAAAACAAACAAAAAAAAACTCCTCAGATAAACAGCCACTTGCAGCTCCTTCGTAGCACATAAATAACTTCTCCTTACAGGAGGGAGGGCTGCTGGAAATTGGCAGCTCCTACACATCCTAAGCCATGTTCTCTTGAGCAAGGAGGAGGAGAGCTGGGTGATGGGAAAGAATATTGTACAGTGTGACTGCCTTGGCAGGCTTAATTAAATCAGTTGGAGTGAAACTTTCCTGGTTGCAGCTTCCCTCCTCAGCCTTTCTCTGCTTACTGCAAGCCTGATCTCTATCTTGTTCCCCACAGGAATGTGATTCATGGCAGTGACTCGGTTGAGAGTGCCCAGAAGGAGATCTCCCTCTGGTTCCGCCCAGAGGAGCTGATGTGCTGGGAGGATGCAGCTGAACGATGGATCTACGAGTGATGACACAGCCTGAGGGAAGTACATCTTCCTGACCTGGGCACGGGGCATTTTCATTAGTTCCATTTTGGCCCCTCAGGCTGGCTGTGGATTCTGCTGTGGTATCACATGCTGAGAGTTTCTCTTCTGTGTGTCTGTGGAGGGGCTGTGGGAGCTGGTCTTTATGTTTGTAACTCAGCAGTTCAGCTCCCTGCAATAGTAGCTTTCTTTTTCTTTTTTTTTTCCCCTCCATCTCCTGTAGTAAGTAGTTGAAGTTGCTGCTCAGTTTGCTGCAGCATCCCAAAGTCCTTAAGTGGTTCAAAGTGATTTATAAAGGAGAGTGAAAGCTGGGCTCTGTGCCTGTCACTGTGCTGGCAGGCCTACCAGGCACAGAGGGACACGTGCTCCTAGCCCTGGGGAGGTGCACTGCTCACTGCAGGGTACAGGCACTGTCATCCACTTGCATTTTGGTGCAATCCCTCACCAGAGGCTTTTAAAGAAGTGAGCTGCTGAGGTGTAAAGCGGAAAGGGCAGAGGCTGGTGACTAGGGCTGACCCAGCCTGGTGACACTCATCACTTTAATGTGTCCCTTGTGTGCAGGGCAGAAGTAGCCTCTGGAGGAGGAGGCTCATTAGTCGGGCTCCTGCTGTGAGTTTTCACTTCTGGAGGCTTCCTGACTTTCAGTGACAGCAAGGCCTGTCACTGGAGAGGCTCAGAGCCACTTGTTTGAATGTGTTCCTGCGTCCCGTTTTTGCCTGCTGTCCCTCTCTATTTTCACACCGCCGTCCATTTCATTCAGCTGTTCCTGAGCCCTCTGCACAGCCTGCCAAAATACAAAGGCAGTGACTGTGGCACTGCATTCTGCTGTGGAGCAGGGGTCTGGTGAAACCTGAGGGAAAAAGGGTTTTGTTGCATGTAGACTGAGGTACTTTGCTCGTGTTCTGCAAGCTCATCTCCCTCTTGAGCTAGAAAGATTTGTATCTTATGGGGCATGAGTGCAGTTCCCCAGCTCCCACTTCTACCTGAAGGCTGGCCTGGGGTGGTGGGACTGAGCAGAGAAATACCAGAAGTAACAGGGAGAAGGGACTTGGGACTTCTGTGATTAACTGTGGCTTTCCTTTGCAGTCCAGTGGCAACACACAGCATTTCTAATAGCCAGAGCACCTCATGCCTTCAGGGCCTTCTCCAAATGGTTGGTTACAGCTCTAATCATCTTTAAGAGATTGTCTGTTCCCACAAATCATCCGTGTGTTTTTATTTATAATAAACTCTGGAGAGTTCCATCTCTTCTGGTTGTTGCTGGGTGAGTGGGAGGTGGCTCTAGGTGAGCACTCACAGGAATGTGAGCTAGTGCCAGTTTTTCTGATGGAACTGTGCTGCTAGTGGTAGCTTTCTTTTGTGTTTTTTTTTTATTGCCCCAGAGATGCACAGGCAAGGCAACTAATGGGGAAGGAGCCACAGTTTGTCAAGATATTAAAATAATTCAGGAAGGCAATTATAAGGGAACTTGTATTCAGATGCATTGTATTCTGTGTGTTCAGATTACTGACCAACAACTGGTAACTAGCAAAGGCAATCTGCAGTCTTATTCCTAATTTTCACTACTTTCCTATTCTGTTGCCCCATCTATTGTCACATGCATTTCTTAAGTTATTTGACAAAATAAACCTGAGCTTGTTTGAACACCTGGGACCTGAAAGAACAGTTGTTTTCATATCTGCTCTGATGTAGAGCCTGTGATGATGGCTGTGGTTGGGCAGTGGCTGAAGGAGTCCCTCTTTTACATTTTATTTCTGGTTCTGGAGGAAGCAATGGGCTTCCAAATACTGTCCTCAGGAGCATGTGGCCATGGGACCGAACTATCCTGGTTGGACTCCTCAAGGACTTGAAGGAGTGGCATACAACTGTGCTGGGGAGGGTTAGGAAAAGGTTCTGCACCAGAGGGTGGTGGGCACAGCCCTGAGCTGCTGGAGCTCACAGAGTATTTGGACACCACTCTCAGATGTAGGGTTTGGGTAGTCCTATGCAGAGCCAGGGGTTGGACCCAATGATCCTTGTAGGTCCCCTCCATTCAGGAGATGAGGAAACGTTGAGGGGAGTGGGCTTGTTTAGCTTGGAGAAGAGAAGGCTCTGGGGAAACCTCACTGTGGCCTTCCAGTACTTGAAAGGAGCATTTAAACAGAGAGGGGAACAGCTGTTTACAAGGGTGGATAGCAATAGGACAATGGGAAATAGTTTTAAACTGAGACGGGGGAGGTTTAGGTTGAATATTAGGAGGAGGTTTTCCACCCAGAGGGTGGTGAGGCACTGGAACAGGTTGCCCAAGGAGGTTGTGGAGGCCCCATCCCTGCAGGCATTCAAGGCCAGGTTGGATGTGGCTCTGGGCAGCCTGGGCTGGTGATTGGTGACCTGCACACAGCAGGGGGTTGGAATTGGATGAGCATTGTGCTCCTTTGCAACCCTGGCCATTCTATGACTGTGTGCTAACAGGTTACTAGAAGGTTGAGACTCGAGCTAACTGCCTTTCCAACAGCCCGCTGTCATACGGACAATCTCCAGAGTATTTACATCAACAGAAGGCACCAGCAGCTGATGTTATGCCATTTATTAGCTACGGACCCAGCACGGCTCAGTGACGGAGCACAGAAAGCCCTCACACGGCAGCGGACTGACCCAGAGCGCTGTCTGAAGACGACACACCGAACTCCGCAGCGCTTACAAACCTTTTGCAGCACGCAGCATCGTTTCCGTGAATGGCAGCAGGGAGGCGGGCTGCAGCCTGGTATCCCGGCAGCTGCTGCCCTTTGATCTCGTACATCTCTCGGAGGTACAACGCACAGCACAGCAGAGCTCGGTGGTGGAGGCCGCAGACGGACAGGTAACACATCGGCCTGACGGCACAGCCCGACACTCAGCACAGCCCCGCGCGCCGCCGCCATCTTACCTCCCCTCAGCGCAGGGGCTGCCGGGATGGGGCCAGTCCAACAGCGATTGGTCTTCTCTCATCACGTGACGCCCGCGCTCACTTCCTACCCGTCGTCCCTCTTGGGTGTGACGACAGACGACACGCCGATTGGCCGCGGCGGCGCGCGGCTTTGTGACGCCACTCGGCTACAGCGTGAGGGCAGCGCCCCTGTTGTGTGACGTCAGAGCGGGGCTCGGTACGGCCAGGAGCCCCGCGGCGGTTCGGGCCTGTGGCTGCGGTGAGTGCGGGCGGGCGGCGATCCCGGCCCCGGCCTTCTCTGAACCGCGAGCCGACCTCGGGGGCTCCCCTTGGCTTCCCCTCGATGCCGGGGCCCGCTCGGTGCCGGCTCCCCATCAGCGCCGCCGTCTCCGGTGGGGAGCGGGAGCTGTCCGTTAGCGGCGGGTCGCGCCCGTGCAACGACCGTTCGGGGGCTGCGGGGCCGCCCGGCTGCGGGTTGAGGGGCCGCGGTGCTCGGCTGCCGCCGTGCCGGAGGTGTCGCGGCTAAGCGGTGTCGCGGAGGGGCTGCCGCGTTCAGGAGGGTTCACTTCTCCGTTTTGTTTTCCCCTTCTTCTTTCTTTCTCAAGCGTTTGCAGTGCGTGCCGATAACGCGAGGTCGTGTTGTTCGCTACGAAAACTTCAAGATCGGGAGGACCCGTTCGATTTCCAGCATCCTCCCGTGCCTTCGGCTGGCCGCCGGGATCCTCATGTGCGTGTGCAGCTGGGGCAGAGCCGCGCCGATGCCGTGGGAACTGTGCCATGAGCGCTGGTGAGCTGTGGCCGTCGCCATGACGGAGCCCCACCGGGTTCTGTTCACCACCCTGCACGGCCCGTTGAGCAGCAGTTTCCTGAAGAAGCCTCGCAAGGACGATGCCGAGCAGTCCCCAGAGGCGGAGCAGCCTGGGGAGACCGTGCGGCTGTCGCTCGCTCTCTTCGAGCCGGATCACAAGCGCTGTCCGGAGTTCTACTACCCAGATCTTCTGAAGAACAGCCAAGTGAAAAGAAAAGGGTCTTCAGGAGACAAAGTGAGCATCCTTGTGGTCGGTATATCTGAAGGTTTCCAAAAGTTTCGCGTTGTTGCTCTCTTAATGCTGCAGAGAGAGGTGGGAGAGCATTACCTGCGAGGTGCTGAGAGGGGAGCTGATGGGTCAGACACCATGCAGGCTCAGAGCTGGGAGCCATGTGTTCCTGTTCTTGGGACACTCTTCTTGTTCCACTCTGTTACTCCTTCATCTTGGTTGCTATTGCACATCAAAAGGGTGATGTGCAGCATGTTTGGCTCATTGTGTTGTGCTGCTTGTTATTTAATAGGGCCCATTTAGAGAAAGTATCAAAAAGAGTGATCCTCTGTAACAGAGTTCTGTATCTTTTTTGGGGACTTTGCTTCGTCTTATGTGACTCAACTGACACAGGGGAGGTTTAGGTTAGATATTAGGAAGTTTTTCCCCCAGAGGGTGGTGAGGCACTGGAACAGGTTGCCCAAGGAGGCTGTGGATGCCCCGTCCCTGCAGGCATTCAAGGCCAGGCTGGATGTGGCTCTGGGCAGCCTGGGCTGCTGGTTGGTGACCTGCACACAGCAGGGGTTTGGAACTGGATGAGCATTGTGCTCCTTTTCAACCAAGGCCATTTTATGATTCTATGACTCTTTCCACTGGATCCCTGTTTAATGGCCCTGATGCTTTCATGTGTTCCCTGACAACTCTGCTTTAAGAGTTTTAGTTTATGCTAACTTTTGTGGCTTTTAAGCTTTGTGTTATGGACATCTTTCTATCAGAAAGTAGTTATTGAAAGGAACTTTTTCACACTGTGATGTGAAGGAGTTTTTGTCTCCCAAGTGTTTCAGCACCATTCCTGCTGCTTCTGACATCAGTGCTGGTGATGCCTGAGAAAGTTGATTGGATTCCATTTGCTTTTGCTGCTTATTTTCAGTTCTATTTGGTACTCAGTTGATGAGGGTTCATACTGTTTTCTGGGGAATCAGGAGAAGCAGAAACAGCTGTAGAACTACCTGAGGGTGCACACAAAACCCAAAGACTGCAGCAAAACAATAAATGCTTGTCATCCAGTAAGGATCAGTGTAAGGACAGGTTCCTCTTATGTCTGCCTGCTGAAGCTCGTTCACATGAACTCAAGGGTGGCTGGAGAAGAGAAGGGAGATGCCCCTGGATCTGATTGTTGAACAGCAATGATACAAAAGAAGAGGGATTTACATAGAATCTGGAGATCTGTGGTAGGGTACCATCTCACCGCCCTCTTGTTACTTTTCTGGGAGAGAGTTGAGAGAGGAAACCATTCATTCCATTTCCTTGGTTTATCACTGTCTCAAAGAAATTTTTCTTACCTAGTAGAGTTCTGGTTACGTTTCCAACCCTTCTGCATGCTTGTTTCTAGGTGACTTATTCCAAGAATAATAGCACTCTGGGAATACTGCATTAAAGGTTGATTTGGCTGAGCTTCTGCCTGGCAGATCTGGTCATGATAGGTTTAATGTACACGTAAGGGGGCTTTGGTGGCAGGGTGACAGGATTGGTTCTGATGGTTTTTGTCTCTCTTTTCTGCAGAGGAAAGAACCTGCTGATCCCTTTGATGATGAAAAGGAGAGACATAAAGCGGAGGCTCTTGCTAGGAAGTTTGAAGAAAAATATGTATGTTTGTCTTCTTTGTGTCGTGTTATCCCTTAGAATGGGTAATGCTGCTCAGCTCTCACCCCAAATTGTTTTAACAGAAGTTAGCAGTTGTTAGCTATATGTCCCTATCTTCATGTTAGCTTCACGTCCCTACCAAGTCTGTTACCTTGCTCCAAGGATACTGTGGATACTTTTTTTTCTGTTTCAAGGCTGTGATTTACTAAAACAGTTCTGCTACGTTCCTAAAACCGATGACAGCCTGATTATAGTGAATAATATTTTCCCTTGTGGCAGATTTCCATCCTTAATTTATAAGATGTATCCTATTTTTAAGCAAAAAGAAGTGTTTTCTAAGCCTTGCAGTCATGACGTGGTGTAGCCTCTCATGTGTCTAAGAACAGCTCTGAGTTTGCTGTCAGCACTGATGAGTTCAGTGGAAGGGAAGCTGATCCGCCTTGCCCATTTCCTTGTTGTTCTTCCTCTCACTTTGCTCCTGTAGATGACAATAAAGCAATGTTACGTTTTACAGCCAGTGCTTTTGGTTATGTGAGTTGCTTTATTGTCTTGTGATATGAATTGGACCTGTTGGTCATCTTAATGCATTGTGTGTGTGGTTGGTGCCTGTAGTGTGGGGTTTGTACTGGCTCTGTGACAGTTATGGAGGAACAACCATTCTGCACTGGCAGAACTGTTGAAGGGATGCAGACCCAGTTCAAAATCAAGCCTACTGGCACAAAGCCGACCTGTCTGTTGGGACAGCATTTTATTGCATATGAGTGCACTGTTCTTGATTCTGCATGACAAAGCATAAAACTGGATTTATTGTGCCCTTAGATCAGCATGTGATGTGGGTCAGTGATGGTTCCGTCCTCCTGCTGCTCCTAGGAGGCAGAAAGCTTTCCTGTACTGGAGAGAATGTTAGAGTCCTACGTCAGGGCTGTCCCTGTGGTCATTAGAAAAGAAAGATGAGCATACCATCAATCTTTTATTGTTTAGGGTGGCAAGAGACGTAGAAAGGACCGTTTTCAGGACTTGATTGATATGGGGTATGGATACGACGAATCTGACTCCTTCATTGATAATTCTGAAGCAGTGA